TCTACTGCAGCTCAAACCAGCACACCAAATCATGCAGTCAAAGTGCTGTAAAGTTAAAATAAGTGTATTTCATTCTAAATACATTGAATAGTTTCAAAGACACCCAAACCACACAAATGAAAACCAGGAAGCATTTCTAAACTAATAATCCAGCTATACTCAGATTAGCTCACATCACTTTCTCTTTTATTTTTCTACATGCTTCAGCCTAAGGGTAGATGTAGTAACATCTTTCTACATGAAAAGGGAAAATTTGTATGAGCTCTTCCACATGCAGGATATGTTATGTTGTAAAAAGACTGAGATTACATCTATAGGACACAGTATTGATATACATTGCAGAAAGAGAAGCAATTATAGAGAATTTGTTTTCAGCTCCTCTGATACTTTGGCTAATTATGAACTCCTTGCTCAGTAAAACATTGTGGTCTCATACAGTTGAGCCTCTCTGTTTAACCTCTGTGTAACAAACACTCTGTTCCTCTTTAGCAGCACAAGGCAGTGCTGTGTGTTCAGTGTGCCCCAAAGCCACCTCACCTTCACCTCTATGTGGTGTTCGAGCCACCCTCATCTCTCCCCCATTCAACAGGTCTGACAGGCTTTTCAGTCTCTTCTATTAGCATCCATTACTTTTTCCCCAAACTTTTGCTTAGAGCCCCTAAAAGGACTTCACAAGCTCTTGTGGGCTCTCTGCTGCCTTCTAGCTGAAAAACTTTCTCATTTCCTGAACTTGACATGGGAACTTAAGGCATGTGAGCATGCACAGAGATACTTACTGGAGGTTAGTGGGTTTTTCTTTCAGCTGGAGCAAGTCCTGACACCAGTGAATTGCTAAGTGCCCTTCAACTCTTCAGGCATTCTGCTGATAAAGTTTTGCATTATTTTTCATAGTGATGGAATACTGACATAAAAACACTTATGTTTCATTTAACATTCAAGTCACTATACAGCATAACAACTTTAAAGTTTACAGCTGGCCTCTGTAAGATGGAAAACTTACCCAAACATCTGACAGAAGTGGCATCCACTCAGTGACCATGAGCTCTCTGCTTCCCCTTCCCAGGTACTTGTGTACAAAGGCTCTTTTCTGAACCTCATTCCAAGTAAATCCTCTCTGTGTATAGAAAGTCTAGACCAGCAATAGGAGAAAATGCTCAAAACACTGTTTGCATATAAGAAAATAAAGTAATTTTTAGACACCCTAAAGTCTAGATTCACAAATCGGATTACTGAATCATCCAGTCAGTATTAATAGAATCAGTCAAATACCTTGAAAACTGCAAAAGGGTAAAACCAATAAGGATGTGGCATAACAATAAAACAATCACAAATAGAGCTCTTGTCCTATGCATAATTAACTGCAATTTTGCTGCCCCACATAACAGCTTTTTCCTTTAAGTACATTTCTGTGTGATCTGCAAGTACTGAGTTGTATCATTGAGAAGAAATGGAATAGCAAAATACTGAAGATACCTGGTTGAGTTGTTGAACAGTTTTAATTTTTTTTTTCTTAGAGTATGTTTTAATAGGTTCAGAATCTTTCCTGTTTAATTACACAACTGATACTCTGCATTTCTCTTTCTCTTCTTTTTACTTCTTATCTGCCCCTGGGAACAGCTGAAGGTATGTACATCTCTTATTAAACTGACTGACAATTAATTGTTAGAGATGGACTTCCCACATTACTTATTTGATCTAGGATGCAATATTTTCATAAAATTCTTGGTAAATAAATCAAGACAGTGTTAAAAGCAGGTTTAAAACTCTTCAGATGGATTAGTTTGTAGATACTGTTTACAGTGTGGTTCCTCTTGTCTCTGAGCGTTGCAGCATCTCACCACCACAGAATTCAGCCCCGTACAAATAAGTTGCTGTGCAGGGCTGGCACTGGGCACTCCCAGGTACCTGTGTGGCAATCTCAGAGAGATGTCTTTGTTCATGCTGTAACTGCCACTCCTTCAGCACAAATCCCTGTCTCCAGCCACCACACCATAGTTTCAGAGGTAAAAAGAGCAGAAGACTAGAAAAATGTGGAAGCTGGTGGCCAAATCTACTGACTTCCCAGAAGTACACTTTAGAACAAAGTGGCACAGGGGAATCAGGGAAAAGCAGGCTGTCCTATCACCATACAGAGGAAACCCAATGCCTTTGGATGATTTTGCTGATAAGTAGGTTGGGCTCTCAGCCTCTTCAAGATGCTGCTTTGTAGAAGTATTAAAGTGTCCCGACTGAGCTTTTACTTTGTAATAGTTTAGAAACTTATACATAATTACAAGGTTTTTGAGTTGGTTTTGGTGGAAGGAAGGAAGTGGGAGAGATTGGTTTTCTTCTTCGTAGCCTCTAAAAACATTTTGTTTCATTCACAGCACCGGGTGTCATACTTCCTTCAGTGGGTAAGTCACTGGTTTCTTTCTGCATGGAGCAGCAACTGTCAACTGAAATTGTCAGAGAGACAGAGACTGCCTCTTCTGGGTTTACAACAAATACTACCCCATTCTGCTCACTGCTAAAATGTTGCTCACTGCTAAAAACACACCTGAAGATTGAACAATAGGAGGTGAAAAAGTTTCAGCTAAATAGTTTTTAAGGAGTAAATGCTGGTTCATCAAACCACTATATTTTCCTGAATGCTGTTTCCCAAGAGCAGAGGATGGACTTCAGTTTGCATCTCCTTTGGAATTGTACAGAGCAGGGGACTATAATGTCATCTTCTCTGGCTAAATTAATATATTCAGTTACTTGTAGAAAAAGCAACTATTTTATTCAAGAGAGAGACAGCAACTCACCCTTCAAATTGCTGTCTGAGCAGTCCTATATGCGGGAGAGTTAGATTCCTGTTTTTGCTCTGGAGAGTAGTGTCAGTCTCTCTCTCTCAGACTCTGTCTGGATTTGTCAAGTCTTCATTGAAAAGACTTATATTCTTTCTGGAAAAAAAAAGCAAATGTCAAAACATCAAAAGTTTTCAATGGATGATGTTGCATTTCCTTGCTGATACTTTAATCCTCGAGCCTGAAATATTTGTGTCCTACAGATACATTAATTGGGCTATGGGTAAACCCTCAAAGCAATTTACACTGCAGGTAAAATCTGTCTCTAGCCTGAAGCTTTGTTTGATTCAAAAGGGGCACAAACTGTCATCCATGGACTATATGATTTAAAAACTAGGATGGAATTAGGAATTTACCAAGCATATTCACTTCCTGACATCTTAGATGTACCATGCCAATAGTGTGTAAATTCTCCATTTTGATGGGAGTGTTTCTAACAACTTTTTTACTTCTGCAGCTACACATGTCTATCGAGTGCCACAACCCACATGGCATACGAGTGGTGAGTAGTTTGAGTAGTGTCTGTCCACAAGAACAGAAGAAGGTATTTAAGACTAAATTACACAATTCTTATGGGTATTTTAGGTAATTCCCTTCCATAACAGCAGCCAGTTTTCTTTTGCAAAGGGTTAGTATTTTAATTTACTTTATACATCTCTCAATGTCTTTTAAAGATCAAGTAACTGAGGTTATATGTGGCCATTTTCTTAGTCCTGCTTCCCTGGTAGGCACTGTGTTGGCAACTGCCTGTTCTGTCTTCAGGTGGACTTCCTGCTCTCAGTAATACTTTCATGGCCCTCAGGGGTAAGCAGTGGCCATCCTGATCCATGTGCCAAAGTTTGCAGTGGTCAAGAGACACGGGCTGTATGTCATATGCCTGGGAAAGATGAGGAGGAAAGGATGTAGTGCCCATTGAGGAGATGGCAGCAGCTTCCTTGGGATCACACCACTCCTCTGGAGGATGGCCTGGGCTAAGCTGGGCTTACAGCTTGTGCAGGGGCTGGCATAACATTGGAGCTTTGACCCTGTGTATCACTGTACAAATACCAGTGATTTGCCTTTACAGTTGATGGAGATCCACACTTCATTATATCGGTGCCACAGAAAAAAGATGCCATTTGTTTCAATATCAATGAAAGCCCTGGTACTATCTTAAATTTAATAAATGACCCAATTACAGGTGAGTTTATAATTATATTTTTCATTTTTCCCCCGGGTACTTCAGGCAAACTATCATGTGTTTAAAGGCTATTTCTCTCTTTATACTGCAAAAGCTTTTTTTCCCCAGCAATGTCAGTAGGAAGTCTTGTACCATTACCAAAACTGTTTTCACTTTTTGGAGCAAAACTTTAAACTGTGTTTGAAAACCACTGTGAGGGTTGAGAGCAGCAATTTGTCCCAGTGTAGTAGTAGTACAAGCAATAAAATAATCTTTATGTTGCCAGTTAGCAATATCTGGTAAAAATAGGCTGATGTCACATAGGCTGTTTGTGTCCATCACAGACTCTTTGTGCTCTAGGAAGTACTGAACTTTTCTGCATAAAATATTTTTGGTTTTGTGGAAAGCCACATAACAGCCCCCTGAGCTTTATTTTACACTGTCATAAACATGCACCAGTAATTCTGATCTGTTTTTCAATTAATGTATTTGTTCCCTTGAGTCATTGTTACATTTTCATTACGCTCCTTGACATCACTTGATCAGGTCCTTCTATAAACCAATACTTGTTTCCTTTCTCTGTTAGGCATCACAGTCAATGGAGAACTCATTGGTGATAAGAGACCAAATAGTGATGCAAAGATCCAAAACTCATATTTTGGAAAACTTGGCATTGCAAATAAGCACCTGGATTTAAAGCTGACAGTGACTCCTGAGAAGATCACAATTCAGAATGGGGATGAAAAAACAGGTTTCACCTGGCTTGACTCAGTCACCTTACAACAGGATGGGTAAGGCTCACAGAGAGGATATCAGGCTCTTGTGTTACTTTCTACACTTTTAAAAATACTGATCAATAATGTACTTCTAAGATTTGTTGTCTGAATACACAGATAAAAATTGATCCCAACCCTGCTGGATTCTGCTCTCTACTTTGTTCTGTAACTGCCTAATGATTATTCACAAATTCCTCTGCTTGGAATAAGTACCTGAAGGATTTTTCCTGATTTTCTATTACTATGACTGAGGTAAAACTAGATTTGGTATTGTGCTTAATCCAGCAGTGTCTTGCAAATACTTGGAGTAACTAGGCATAGTGTGTAATCTTTCAAAGGCACAGTAAGGTGTAAGGCACAGTCTCCATTTTAAGAAATGGAAATTGTGGCTTCCAGAGAATAGGTGCATTTTGCCCTGTCAGCGGGTATATTTTCCATGGGATCTCTCTATTACAGAATCATTTGTAGCTGTGCAAAAGGAAGTTTAGAAAGGGAATGGGCAATATTTCCTCCTCCTTCTCCTCCTCCTTTGCATTTCAGTATATAGCATAAAATCTCTGCCTTCTCAAGGCCTGGCACTGCAGCAGAAAGAGCAAAAGTGTAATTCATCCAGCATGGCTTTATTTTATTATGACAGACACATTGATGTTGTCACTAACACAGTCAGAAACAAGTCTTTATCCTAGCACTCACCCAGGCAGTTTGGGAGTTGTCAGGTAACACCCAGGCAAAGAAGCAATGGTTTTATCAATGGAATTTGTATTATTGAGCATGATGTGCTGTACCTACTCTAACCTATCCCTGATTCATTGTCCTGTGAGAGGACGAGTTTTTGTAGAAACACCTTGCTGAAAAGTTTAAAGGCCATTAGCCTTTTCCACTGTAATTTACTCTGATTCCATGACTGTCTGTGCACACCCATATGAAGACTCCCCTGGACCAAACTAGGTGGCAAACCCTCTCTTTTAAAAACCCCTGAGCAGTTTATAAAGCCATGTTTGTTTCTTGGACATGTTTCTTCTCACATGTCCTCTCGCTGCTGTTAACTCTGGGAAGCACAATGTCCTAAGTCAAGTATTTCTTTTTTTCCCCTCAGTTTTACTTTGATAATTAACAGAAAGAAAAATCTGGTGCTCTCAGTGGGCAGTGGTGCCTCATTTGTTGTTGTTTTGCACCAAGTATGGAAGAAGCATCCTCTCCACCAAGACTTCCTAGGACTGTATACATTGGAAGGTGATAAACTGTCTGAACAGACCCATGGCTTACTAGGTATGGCTTCGTTTAGTGTTTCTATGCTTGTCTTGTATTATGAGGCGACATAACTTGTACACACCAGCTTGTATATACCCTTTCTTAACTGAGATAATGGAGGAAACTGAGATGACATTGTGACAAAATATTCTGGGCTCAGACTTGAT